GGAATGTCGATACAAAATGGAGGAAGCGAACCAGGAAGTTGACTGGTAAATACTTAGAAAACAGCAGGTGGCCGAACCAAAAAGAACTATCGGTTAAGAAGAAAGTGAAGGAAACGGAGACTGACATGTGGAAAATGGGCATGATTAAGAAGTCCGCACTAGAGATCTATCGAACTTTTAAGCAGGAAATTGCCAAGGAAAGGATCTATGATAATAGTCGGGGTAGTTCTCTACTGTTTGAGGCAAGGACGGGAGTACTGCGAACCAAGACATATCGGGCCAAATACGAAGGGGTAGACACGGTATGCAGTGCGTGTGGAGAGGAAGAAGAAACTGCCGAACACTTGATAATGTTCTGTAAAGGGCTTCACCCTATAGTTCAGGATGATGGCGCAGAGTTTTTCAAAGCACTGGGGTTTAGGGACCGGGAGGGCAAAATAGACTTTAAGCAAGTAGACTTAACTAGAAGGAGGTTATTTGATTGGTGGCTAAAGTCAAGGCACGAGTGAAAATTAAACTCTTCACTGCAAAGTACGAATTCTCAAACTCACTTTTCAAGGAAAAAATAAATAAATATAGTTTTGAATTCATTAAGTATTACGGCTTGGTGGCGCTAGCCACCGCCCGATCTAAAGGGTACAGCCTTATACATCCATCCATCCATCCATCCATCCATCCATCCGAGGAGGAAAAGGGAGGGTGTCGCTACATTGGAAACTTGTTTCATCTAGGGACCTTACAGTGAACGAGGCGGCCGCGCCGCATCTCGGCTGATTCTCCGGCGGGTGACAGTAGCGGCGGCGCTGTAGTTCCATGGTACGCGTGTCCGAGCGCACGCGTCCGAGCCTGCGAAAGCGTGTAATTGCTCCTTTTCAGCGCGTTTAATGCGTTTCTGAGCCTTTATCAGTGGACACACCTGCTACGTGCCATGATGCACGAGTAACTATACAGGCACGCCGAAATTGCGTCAATACATTCGCTGTTTCAAGAGCCTGCCGACCTAGAAAAAAAAGTCAATCGAAATTTGAGTAAGGAGCTAGCGCGTTGAGCTGCGTTACATCATAGGTGACTACTGGCGAGCTTCAAAGAGAGGAGAAGTATCAAAACTATGATTAAATCATGCGCTCGTTTTGTCCGCAGTCTACGATATCCAGAGCACCATGTTCCTTATATGAGCCAACATGCGCTCGATTGTTTCACGAGAAACCCGAGTGTAAGTAACGTTGTCACAACATTAATTGGTGACGACTTTTTTTATGCCAGTTTTGTGGAAGATAATAATTATTGCTTTCCGAAAGGCTTATTACATATTCAACTTATTAAAAACAACACTCAAACATATTAAACAATGTCAATTGTATATATAGCCTGTCTTAATCTGCGTAAATTCATTGTAACCAGTTCTCATTTTGTATCGACAGCTTAAATTGTGCTGCTTTCCAAATATTCTATCGGCGTAACGCCATTGCAAGCGAGCAAGTTTATGAAGATGTTTTGTATTATAAGCGTAGTTCTATCAATAAGCGTCAAAAGTGTAGGCAGGCAGTGGTGCATCTTGTTTTGAGAAATTCACCTTCTTTGTATATGCGCGCACGCACACACACACACACCACACACACACACACACACACACACACACACACACACACACACACACACACACTACTAAGGGGCATTGAAGATGCCCCTTAGCACAGCGACTATTTTTAGGCAGTGCATTTCTCGTCCGACTACGATAGACTTATTTGTGGAGACACACTATGTTCCGCTTCACCCACTGTAAACTATTGGCGCAGGGCTACCCACGATTTCTTTTTTTTTTTTTTTTGAGGGGGTGTGGTGTGCAGCAGAACACCTAACTTTGGCAATTGGTGGTCGCTTTGAATGCTTGTAACTATTTTAGTATACCCTGAAAAGTTAAATTAACAAAACATTTTATGCTGTAGGGGGTTCAGATTCCCTTCCTCCCCCTCTTTCCTTGTGGCTTTCTGGTTCTGCGTGCGTGTGACACAGTATTTGTTTTTTTTAATCTCACAGCTTTCTGAGCACAGCTAACTTCTAATAAATCACCTCAGTTATTCTGAATATTGTAGACGTCTAACCAACGAAGAAGGAGTTAAGAGAGAAGAAATCAGTGTAAGACACCCTTTCTGAATTATTTTCGATCTTCCACAAGGACTTTTATGGAGCTCAAATTCAGTATATGGGCATGTCATACTTTAAGGGCTATGGCATCGTGTGCTTGACATGAATTATGGGCAGGTGCGAAGAAATCTGCATCAAGAAATCGCGACGGAGGAGCCGAAGCGCATAGCAGTTCCTGCACGCGGCGCGCGGCTCTTTCAGTACTATTCGACTGCAGCGCCGCCGCTGCGGGCAACGTGGAAGGGATCAGGTGGCGAGGCGTGGTCACGCCACTCAACACTTCTAGTGCACTCTAGTTAAGTGAATTAGTCACTTGAGTGAACTTCAAGGGACCCAAGAAATCAGTTCACTTGACTGAAAGTTCACTAAACTGAAAATTCACTGTATTACGAAGCAGCACTGGGTCCAGCACAAGTCAAGTGAAACATGCGAAATGCAATTTAGTTTTAAAAGAATTCCGTAATTTTAATTTGGACTGTCGCCCTCGTAGCGCAAAGAGAGACAACTGTCAAGAGAGCCTACGTTTCTGTGCAGTGCTTCTGGTCCAGCTTGATGCGGGTGACACGAAGTGTCGCAACTTTTACTATATAATGCATCCATCCTACAGCTTCGGCTATAGGTAGAGGATTTGAACCTGCCTCATCCATTACAACTTATTTCTCACACTCTTTTCTTCTTTCGGTTTCGGACGAACACTGAAAACAATTTCCAGGTCTTAGAGTGTAAAATCTCCTATCAGCTTGTTTTCAATATTCCTCTGGCAACAATGTAATCCAAAACTCTTACAATTGTTTTTTTTTCACCGCAATAAACACCAGTTTTTCGAAAGCATCAACGATTGTGTATGGCGTCTCTTTCGTATCTCAATAGTTTTTATATTTTTGGTGCCGAAACCCGGGAGCTGAAGCCACCATCAGTTCAGCATTACAAAGAGGCCATCAGGCGTCGGCATTCCGACGACTTTACCGTTAACTCAACGATCCTTGGAGGTGCAACCGCCTCGGACTTCACGGTTCTAACAACGAGGCCTAACGGCGCCACACCCACGCTGCTGAAAGCAACGCAACGAAGAAGGTACGATGGGGCGACTTCTCATAAGCGAGTTCCGAAGAAGTCGTTGGCAACACCACCAAAGAGGAGCAAGAAAGCTTCCACACCTGTGACTTCTCGTAAGCGAGGCCCGAAGAAAACCAGGCCTCGCGAAGCCAGCAGAGAGGCATCACCCTTTGAGATTGACCTGTTTGCAAAAGTACCTGAGAAGTCGTTGGCATCACCTACAAAAAGGAGCAAGAAAGCTTCCACACCTGCGACTTTTCGTAAGCGAAGCCCGAATAAAACCAGGCCTGGCGAAGCCAGCAGGTAAGGCATATGGAGCAGTTGCATACTTGTGTGTTTGTTGACTGGGCATTCACAATGTGAATTTGATCTTGTCAAAATCGAGAGTAGCCCCACTAAAGAAGCTTTCCTTTCCAAGACTTGAGCTGATGGGTATGCTAATTGGTGCCCGACTGAAAGACTACCTGGCCCGATCATTTACACTACAAGTGGAAGAGTGGTTTCTGTAGACAGATTCAACCATCGCACTTTACTGGGACCGGGGTTCTTCGACACAGTGGAAACCCTTCGTGGCTAACCGATTGATGATAATACAACGGCTCACCGATCCGCACCAATGGAACCACTGCTCAGGTGCAGAAAATGCATCTGACCTCTTAACCCGAGGAGTTTCGCCGGAAGTGCTCAAAACAACTACGCTTTGGTGGCATGGACCTTCATGGCTCTCCCAGCCTTCTGCTTATTGGCCACGCAGTGAAACCATATGTGAAGACATAACCGTGGAAGTAGAAAGAAAGCCAGTGCACGTTCACATCGTTGCGCCGTCGGTGGAAAAATCAGTCTTGCCTTTCAAGCAGTTTAGTTCCTTGACTAAACTGATAAGAGTTGTCGTATGGATGCTGCGATTTGTGCACAACACCAGGCGTGCCCTCGAGAAAGAGCAAGGATTTCTGACCGCCGAACAATAAAACCAGGCTCAGATATGTCTTATCGGAGAGGTGCAACGTGTGGCTTTTCCCGAAGAACATCAGTGCACTTCTCACTCAGCAAGAATACCGAGGAACTCACCCTTACGGGATCTAATGTATTCCTAGACAGTCATGGAGTGTTGAGAGTTGGGTGCGTCTCAAAAATGCCGAAATGACTTCGATTCTGCTCCCTTCGAGTCATCCTCATGTTGACCTATTAATTTAAGGAACTAACAGGCGCCTTTTACATGCTGGGCCTTTAGAAACGCTTACAGAACTGATAGAAGAGTCCTGGATAATGAAGGGCCGGCAAGCAGTCAAAAGAATGCTGAAAAGATGCGTCACCTGTGACCACTTCAACTGCAGAGCCGCCACTGAAGTAGTGGCTCCCTTGCCTCCTGAGAGAGCAATGAAGGTGTTGCCTTTCGAAGTGACAGGCATAGATTTTGCTGGCCCGCTTTACACAAAAGATCAGGGCAAGAACAAGAAGTCTTACGTTCTCCTCTTTACATGTGCGGTCACAAGAGCGATACACCTTGAGTTGGTAACAGACATGTCAATCGACAGCTTTCTCAGGGTGTTTAGAAGATTCGTGGCAAGAAGAAGAGTGTATCGAGTTATTTTCTCAGACAACGCAAAAACCTTTCAGCGAGCGTCACGTGACAAATCCGGGATCGAACATATTGATATAGGTTGGAAGCTAGTTGTGGCGGACATTTCTGCGAGGCAGCCCGCAAATATAAAGTTAAAAAGCTTACTGCAGAACTTGAAGACAGCAAGAAGGAGTTGGGCGAAAAGTCTCAGCTGCACCAGAACACAGTCGACATTAAGATGGCTCTGGAAGAGCAGCTCGGAGAGCTGCAGCAGCGTGTTGATTGTCTGACAGCGGACAATGCCAAGTGCCAAGACAAGATGCACTTTCAGGCCCAAGAGCATAGTACTGTTGTCACACAGAGAGACGGCCTGCAGGAGCAGCTCAGGGCAGAAAAGGAAGAAAAAGCTTTGCTGGAAGATTGGTTGAAGAAGCTGGCTGGAGGCATCTGCACTCAGCTGGACGTGGAAAACACGTCATCGGTGGTGATCATGGAAAACTCTGGCAACGTGCTGGGCGAACTGCTACTTGAACTCAACACTCTTCATGACGAAAAAGTAGCAAACAACGATGTCACACCGGTCCCGTTAATTAGGGAGGCTATCGCCGAGCTAATTCCAAGGGCCGAAGTATCGGCCCCCCGAACCGCACCACGAAGGCGTGGACCATTTAGAAATGGTCCCTTTTTTGGCGCGCCAGCGGACGCCGGCTGTGGCCCAAAGAACAAGTCAGAGCCGAGAGCTGATACACAAACAAAATTATATTTTCAATAATGGCAGATCGAAAACAATACACAAGAATGCACAATCCACAATAGTTGCATACAATAGTCACCAATCAAACAACGTACTACACAGTACAATCAGCCACACTCGAAACAACGGACACAGACAACGATACGCACTACAATGCAGTCGCATGCATTGAACAACCAAGACACTTAAAGACTAAAAAGATAGAGAACCTATTCAGTCCAAAGTTCTTGGAACCAAAGTCTATATGATACTCTACCGAGAATCACTCACTCAAAGTCCAGCGTTGTTGTCGTTCCGCTGCCCTCGAAGTTTCTCTTCCAGGAAACCTCGCCGAAGTTTCTCTTCCAAGAAACCTCCAGTCTTCAATAGGCCACTCTCCAAGCTTCAAACTTCTTCGCCCGAACACGTTGGTTTCACACACGCAGCTGTCGCCACGCGTCTTCGCTCGATAGCGGTAAACACACGCTCTTGCCTGTAGCTCGAGCCTTCACCCCTCAGGTGGAAATCCTCTTCATCTCCTGTTTTGTCGCTACGGACAGAACCTTCGCCGACTACACGGCGGGATCCCTTCGCGCTCTGGCGCTAACTTCCGTCTTCTCCTCATCTCTCGTCTCCGCTGCTCGGTTAAATACCTTCCGCACGACATTCCAGAAAGTTCTCGTCATTTCGTCGGCGCGATGCGCAGCGAAGGCTGGGTAGGGGGTGAGACGGTTCGAATGCCCTCCGCGATGGATGACTCAACCCGGCGTGACCACGCCTCTTTCGTTCTAGAATTCTCGCGGGCTTGCCCGGCCGCCGATGTGGGGGGAGGAGGTTCGTCGGCGAAGCCACGCTTCCGAGGGGAGAGCGCGCGCCTGGGGAGCCTTAGATGTTTGTTTTCTTTTTTTTCTTTTGACCTCCCGGCGTCTCCCCCGCGCGTTATCGCAAGAATTTGGCGGCGCGCCCATTTTTAGCGCTCGTTCTGTGACACTGCCCCCACTTTCAGAATATTATTTCATAATATTCAAAACCACACAAACGAGCGCGAACAGTCACCACACACTCTCAAAGACTGTAACATAGTCCGTCGCTCATGACACGTCACATTCACAATAGATCGCTCAATACCATCGTACATTGAGTTCAATTCCACAACACATGAAATATAGCCACAGGTACATGACTACAACACTTCATCACACATTCCAAACAATACAAACGTACAAAGTTCTTTCATTACAACAATTATACAACACTACACGTCGCATCATCGCACAGAACACTTTGACTCGCTCGACATACACTTGAGACACAGGATAACAAGAACATTAACACAACATATGGCACTCAGCACTGCCAAACACATTCTGATTCGACCTCAGCACCTATTTTGTGTATTTCGAGCGGCGCTTGCGCCCTCTTTTGCGGTGCTCTCTCGATCTCTTCTTATTGTTTTTGCTCGTTTTGTTCCGGCGAGCCCCTTCACACGACGGTATCTGAGGCAGCGTCTCAGCCATCGTTGTCACTTCCGACACCGTTAACGGGTCATAACATTCAACGGGTCCTGTCTGTTTATTTACCAGCATGATCATGTCTCTACATTTTTCCCGGCTGGCCAACTCCGTCTCCTTTACACTGTCGGTCGGTTGAGGTCGTGCCGACGTAAGTCCAGTTGCTCGACCCGTGAACTCGTGCAACACGATCATCTTCTCATTCACGGTCTCTTGTACCGCGGCTTCACCTTGCGCTCTAGTGAGATCCGTCACGGGCGGCTCCTCCCTTGTATCTCGCGGTCGCTGGGTTGGCGAGGACTCTATCTTAGGGTCTTCTCCCAAACATTCCGGATCATTCGGTCCTCGCGCCCCGTCGATGTTTCCGATGACAAGGTCGTAAAGGGGGGTCGTCATACATAGAGCGGTAACCTTCCCGCTGAAGTACGGGGTTTCCACCTCAATCTCTGCTTCGGGAAGCATCCGAACCGTATGGTCAATTAGGCAAACTGGTTTCGTTCTGCCTGTCAACTCACTTTCCCGTACCAAATTTCTCCGCACGATAACCGTGGAGCTACCAGTGTCTCTTAGAACCGTAATCTTCTTGCCTGTAACCTCTCCAGGCAGCGTTGGCATTCCCTTCGTAACACCGGTTGACTGTTTTGACATTACAGCACCAACAATAGGAATTTTCTCCCCATTTTTCAATTCTACGAATCCGTCGGTGACGGCATTATTGTCGGATTTCGGTGCTGCTTGCACACAGGATACCTGGTGAGTTTGACTCGCCCCGTTTCGGCATGCGTCTGCTTTGTGCCCAGTCTGACCCCACTTAAAACATTTTACAACCGTAGGGCTCGTAAAGATCGTTCGACAGTTTTTCGCGCGATGACCCAGTCGGTTACACAGAAAACATCGCGGAATGCTCTCTGGTGCATGCTTCTTTTCTTCGGGAGCCAATTTCTTCGACTCCTCGGGACAATCCTTCTTGACCTTGGCCAAATTAGTGCCACCTTGCGCTTCCAAGAATTGATCAGCCAATTCAAGCATGTCTTCAAGTGACTCACCCTTCCTCTCTTTCAAGTACAGCGACAGGCTTGGGTGGAAACTAGTAAGAAATTGTTCTCTAATTAGGAGCTCTCTAAGCTCATCGTACTCCTGCGCTGTCCCTGAAAGTTCAATCCATCTGTCGAAATAATGGCAAAGTCGGGCGGCATACTGCGTAGCCGTCTCACCATCAGCTGGCTTTCCTGTCCGAAATCTGTCCCGGAATCCTTCCACGGTAAATCTAAATCGCTTCAGCAAAGCAGCTTTCACCTTTGCATAGTTGGCTGCATCGGTCGGCGTCAGCCTACCGTACACACTGAGCGCTTCACCACTCAAGCAAGTACTCAAAGCAGTTGCCCATTGCTGTTCCGGCCAATTCTGGCTCCCTGCAATCGTCTCAAATCGGTGAAGGTACGCATCAAGGTCGTCCTTCCTTTCATCAAACGCTACGAGCAGCTTGCTCGGGTTCAAGCGGAAGCCATTATCTTCCCGTTCGCTGCTTTCAACTCTAGCTTGGACCGGAGTTTCACTTCGCTGTTGCAAACGGAGCCGCTCGAGTTCTATCTCGTGCTGTCGCTGCCGTTCCCTTTCTCTCTTTCTTCTTTCGCCCTCTCAGCTGCCAGTCTTTCTCTCTCCAGCTCCAACTTCTATTGCTGCTCTCTTTCTTCTCTCAGCTGTCGCTCCTTTGCCTCTCTTTCTTCTTTCGCCCTTTCAGCTGCCAGCCTTTCTCTCTCCAACTCAGCTGCCTTTTCTTTCTTGGCCCTCTCAGCTGCCAACCTCTCTCGTTCCCACTCAGCTGCTTTTTCTTCCTTGGCTCTCTCAGCTGCCAACCTCTCTCTCTCCACCGCCTCTTTCTCCTTCTGGCTTACCCATTTCTGTAGTTCGGCGCCAGAAAGACCCATCTTCTCACCAAGAGCTACTAACTTTTCGAGATCCATGGTGTCTCGCAACCCGCAAATAAAACCTTGCCGCGTGCAAAAAGTATCTGCCTAAATCAGTCTATCGGAACACTCCCCTGCACTCGTTAACGAGAACACTTAACAACACACAAAATCGTTCCGATAGCACTATCAACAACTCGAGGCTCTTTCTCACTACTTTGGACACACTGTGCACCAAAAGGTCCTGTCGCGGACGCCAGATTAATTGTCACACCGGTCCCGTTAATTTGGGAGGCTATCGCCGGGCTAATTCCAAGGGCCGAAGTATCGGCCCCCCGAACCGCACCACGAAAGCGTGGACAATTTAGAAGTGGTCCCTTTTTGGCGCGCCAGCGGACGCCGGCTGTGGCCCAAAGAACAAGTCAGAGCCGAGAGCTGATACACAAACAAAATTAAATTTTCAATAATGGCAGATCGAAAACAATACACAAGAATGCACAATCCACAATAGTTGCATACAATAGGTCACCAATCAAACAACGTACTACACAGTACAATCAGCCCCACTCGAAACAGTGGACACAGACAACAATACGCACTACAATGCAGTCGCATGCATTGAACAACCAAGACACTTAAAGACTAAAGAGATAGAGAACCTATTCAGTCCAAAGTTCTTGGAACCAAAGTCTAGATGATACTCTTCCGAGAATCACTCACTCAAAGTCCAGTGTTGTTGTCGTTCCGCTGCCCTCGAAGTTTCTCTTCCAGGAAACCTCGCCGAAGTTTCTCTTCCAGGAAACCTCCAGTCTTCAATAGGCCACTCTCCAAGCTTCAAACTTCTTCGCCCGAACACGTCGGCTTCACACACGCAGCTGTCGCCACGCGTCTTCGCTCGATAGCGGTAAACACACGCTCTTGCCTGTAGCTCGAGCCTTCACCCCTCAGGTGGAAATCCTCTTCATCTCCTGCTTTGTCGCTACGGACAGAACCTTCGCCGACTACACGGCGGGATCCCTTCGCGCTCTGGCGCTAACTTCCGTCTTTTCATCTCTCGTCTCCGCTTCTCGGTTAAATACCTTCCGCACAACATTCCAGAAAGTTCTCGTCATTTCGTCGGCGCGATACGTAGCGAAGGCTGGGTAGGGGGTGAGACGGTTCGAATGCCCTCCGCGATGGATGACTCAACCCGGCGTGACCACGCCTCTTTCGTTCTAGAAATTTCGCGGGCTTGCCCGGCCGCCGATGTGGGGGGAGGAGGTTCGTCGGCGAAGCCACGCTTCCGAGGGGAGAGCGCGCGCCCGGGGAGCCTTGGATGTTTGTTTTCTTTTTTTTTTCTTTTGACCTCCCGGCGTCTCCCCCGCGCGTTATCGCAAGAATTTGGCGGCGCGCCCATTTTTAGCGCTCGTTCTGTGACAAACGACACCATCAAATCGTTGACTGCTGACAAAGTTGCCTTGATGGCTGATAAAGAGGCTTTAGAAGACAAGGTCAAAGACTTTGATGAGCTTTAGAAAATAAAAGAACATTTGGAAGCTGAAGTGAAGGCTCTGATGGAGTCCAACGAAAAGATGGCGCAAGATTTTCAGGGCTCTCAGCACAAAATGTTGGACTTCTTAGAACAGCTAAAGCGTGAAAATGCAAAGACAGTTGCTGCTGTAGACAAACTTTCACTTAACCTTTTGTCGGACTCACTTGGGCAGCGTCAAGACATATGTGACCTACGGAGGTTGTGAAAACCATGTGGGAAAGAACTGCAAAATTATTTTGCTCAGCATCGCATGCAGTGGAAATTCATTGCCGAAAGAGCCCCATAATGGGGCGGCTTTTGGGAGAGCTTGGTACGATCTGTGAAGGCCTCCCTCAAGAAAGTTTTGGGAAACAGCTACTGCACATACGAGAAACTTGCAGCAATCCTCACTGAGGTTGAGGCAGTCAATTCCAGGCCTCTGGCATATGTTTCTGCAGAGGCCACTGAAGTGGAACCTCTCACCCCTTCTCATTTTCTTGTTGGCAAGCGCCTGACGTCGCTGCCCACATCGACGTGCGAAGATGCTACGTCACAGCCTAACAATATTGAAGGAAGTTGGAAATACCGACAAAGAATGACAGATCATTTCTGGCGAAGATGGCAGAAAGAATACCTAAACAGTCTTCGTAGTGCACATTTCTACGTACCGACCTCTTCGAACGCCATCTAAGAGGGCATGGTGGTGCTTGTCTACGAGCATCTATCCCCGCGACAACTATGGAAGATGGGAGTGGTCGACAAGGTGTTAATCGGACGTGATGGGCGGATCAGGGCCTGTATGGTGCGCCTACCAATTAGGACTGTAATCCGAAGACCAGTGCAACTTTTGTATCCTCTGGAATCTTTGCGTGAATGAGCTAAGGCTCATTGGGCGGGGGGGGGGGGGGGGAGTATGTAAAATTTTCTATCAGCTTGTTTTCAATAGTCCTCTGGCAACCATGTAATCCGAAACTCTTACAACTGTCCTCATCGCAATAAGCACCAGTCTTTCGAAAGTATCAACGATGGCATGGCGTCTCTTTCGTGTCTCAATAGCTTTTATATAGAGCTCTGCGCAGACGCTGAAGCACAGTGACTCACTTTCGTCTCCCGCGCAGTCGCTGTGCCTCAGCGCCGCTTTATGCACAAGCAATGTTGCACTACAGCGGATGTATGGGCGACTTGGGGCGGCCCACATATGCTACCCTAGTGGTGCAGAGTGCAAAACGAGCCCGGGTCCGCAGATCAAGTTCGTTCAACTGAAACATTCACTATTCAGAAGCTGCAAGATTTTTGCTTAGAATTCATAGAAAAGCCACCGGGGAATATTCTAAATTTTTATTACTCTGATATATTCGTTAAACCAACGTTTGTTCAAGTGAAAGTTCACTGTAATACAAGTAGGCTTGCGAAGGTACCCACAACGTCATAATGCATAACTTTTATCAAGTTGGGAAGCACCGGCTACGCCATTATTCGTAATTCTGCTGAAATGCGAGGTACCCGCTACACAGTTCCGAGACATTATGTGCACTTTGTTGATGCGGTGAGTCATGAAGATAAAGACTAATGGCTGAGCCCTTTGCTGGTTGGAAGTTCTCAACGAACGTCTGCTCAGCCATAAGCGAATTCCACTTTAACGAAAGGAGAATCCTCTGTTCTCATGATTCCTTACCAAATTTGGTACTTCATATTTCCTTTAATTAGTTCATTGCTTTCCATAATATAGTATTTTTCCGAATGAACAGTTCATTTTTACATTTTCGATTATTCCTGTCAATATAGATTTCTGCCTCGTCCTCTATCCCTTAATTAACCACCTCTATAGCCAATCCTCTATAGTGGGTAGGAGCCTAAAATTAATCCACAAACCAACAAACAAACAACCCACTTGTTGCGCGAATTCACATTGTGTGACACCTGGTCGTTATTTTACTCTTCTACCACGCCATACAGCAAATGTTGACGCGGTTTCCTCCTGGCATAATGCTTGTGTTGCGAATGAGCTTCGTGCACAAGCCGCCGCCGACGGTGAAATTTCCCATTCGATGGGGCATTTAAGGCTTCCTCCTTTAAAGATCAGGAGCCGAAGCAGACATTGCAGCAGAAGCGAGCTGCTTTTTCCTGGAAACTGGCCTGCGAGCTCGAGACTAGGAGCATGCATGGTTCGGAGGTTCACAGCGCGGCATTTTGTACTAGTGAGCTATGCAGCAGGTAGATCGGAAGCATGCGCTCCCTTTGTTAGAAAACTGTCTGGTCTGATTGTACAGAATGCATCGGTATGTCCGTCAGGCCCATTTGTAATCAACGACATTGCTTGTTGTGACAGTTAATGGCACGTTACGTGCATTCATGCCCCCAAGTAAATTGCAGGAACGCTTCAATCTTTTATGACTTGAGACAGTATACATGTGCACTGAGAATAAGCTCATATTGGTAGGATATTTCAATAGTGTATTGAAAAAAGGCGATAGGTCAAACAGTCGCAAGATAAAATACAAAATCAGTGATGTTCTGGCGTTAATTTGCGAAAGCGGGGTTAACCGTCTGAGCGCCTGTGCGAAAGCGTGGTTAAATAGCTTCCCTATTTATGAGCACCTAAATATGGTTGCGCACCGGAATATTTTTAAACTCTTGCTATAGTTAGCTGCGGCTTTCAATATAGTTGAGACATGGCACTATGGTGTGTTTATCCTCACGGTTGACTTATATTAGCTTTAGGTTGCAGCTGCTTAACTGACTAGTTGAGCAGCATACACGCTTTTACGGTTTCCTGAAATCGCGTTTACTTTTCCAATTACCGTCCGTATACAGCTTATCTATATTTTAGGGGGCACAGTCAATTCAGCGTCTTTACCACACAAATTTTACCGGCTTCTATAGACAGAAATGTTACTTTGTTCTTCTGTATTTGTTACCTTACCCACGGCCGGCGGCCGTGCCGTGTACCTTACATACCTTGAGAGTTGTTGAAGTCTGGCTGTGTAAAAGAATAATGTAGGAAATAGTCTGGCGATGCACATCATCGAATGCCCCGATAGCGTTTGACGTAAAGACCTGGCAGCGCAATTAAGGCGGAGCATAACAATGCGCTATAATTTCCAGCCGCAAACAGAAAGATCACGTCTCGATCACAAGGTTGTGCGGCAGAAAACGTCCGGTTGGCTCGACCCTTCAAGGCGCCGAGCAATAAGCGGGTCTGCGCCTGCAGCGTTCAAAGCACTTTATCATGCACGAGTGTCCACGTCAATATATATGTACATGTATATGCACTCGAGAAAACATGAGCCCTTCTAGGCATACACTTAAAAAAGACACTTCGGCCGGAAGGCTGACGGGCGTTGTTTCCTCGTTCTTTTTACGGTTTGAGGTTACGCGTGGTTTTCTTCGTACTTTGTGGAGTTATTTGTCGCCGTCCGAGCGCCACGGACAACAGAGAAAACAAGGCTCAGAGATCGGTCGTATCTGATGTTGCATTCGGCAACAGAGATACGGCTATACACGTCGCGATAACTGGGGTCGTAGTAGAGAAGAAGAGAGGAAAAAAAAGAAGCGACCGATAGCGGCCACATCCAGCGTCGACGATAGAGCCTTTGGACAGTGAACGGGACTGGTCGAGCGGTTTTCAGTGGCGGGCTCCGTGCCTGCACAGGGGCTGCATCGCTTACCATGGGGCCTGGAAAGCTTCTCGGAAGGCTGCTCATCGTCGCCATCGTGTCGCTGTTTGACGCCGTCGACGACGTGGATGCAGATGATGGTGAGGAACAATGCCGGCCTCTGTGACGTCGTCACGTGGTGGCGGGATCACGTGCAGTGGTCTCTTTTGGGCGCGGAGCACTTCATAGGTGGCCGGGATGTCATACGCTGTCGTACGCTGTGATGGTGAGCAGTCGCTTGGCTTAACGCAGGCAAAAACACATAAGTAGCATAACCAGCTGTAGCATATTGAGCGCACTTGCGCCACAGAAGTGTTCATCCTCTTGTTCTTCGAGCGCATTGATGGTGACATTAAGAGCAGAACACTTTAGCGGGAAAACCACGTTAAGAAATTTGAAAAGGGGGAAGCAAGCGAGAAATACAAATAAAAAGAAAAGAGGGAAAATGTGAAGAAAATAGAAATGAATAGAAACAGAGGAAGAAAAACAGAAAAGTACCTAAAAAAGAGACAGAGATAAAGTGGAGAAAAAAAGAAAACCGAAGAGAAACAAAAAAGGCAGCTGCCCAGCTTCGTACTTTCTTGCAGCTTGAAAACCCTATAGTGCGAAGCTGCCATATTTCTCTATCTCTCTTGTTTTTTGTTTTGTTTTCAATTACGTTCGATGAGTTACTTTCAAGAAATGAGTAGCACGACGACTAAGCGAGAAGCACGATTTACTTCAACACTTCAAAAAAAAAAAAATTAACAGCACGAATTGCTCAACTAATCTATTGACTGGCATGCTGTTGTTACGCAGGCGTGTCGTAAGCAAAAGAGGTTACCAAGTCTACGTAGCATTATTGGCATTGTCTAACTGGGGAAAAAAAGGGGGGTGGGGGCGTATCTCGAAGAAAGTATACAACCCAAGATACGGCGCAGATATCATGGTGCAATCTAAAAATTCAGGTTCTTCCAGCAGGAAAAGTACCTGTCTCTCATGCCTGTGTGTAGCTTTTCAATGAACACCTCTGATGGCAATTAGGGTATAAATCTGACTTAGTTTACCGATTGACTGCATGTTAACTAGCGTTCGCCTCGGTTGGAACAGCGGCTAAGGTGCTCGGCTGCTGACCAGAAGGTAACGGGTTCGACCCCGTCAGCGGCATTTCGACGGAGGCCCTTGTACTGTGCGATGTCAGCGCACACGTTAAAAGAAAACGAGTAGTACGAAATCTTCGCATCCCCTCGCTAGGGACGTCACTCATGATCATAACGTGGTTTCGGCACGTAAAAAACCCAGACAATATTATGCGGTTACCTAGCGTTAGAACGAAAGTGAGTTCCTATCTTGAAGGAAAAGTGACGATATAAACGGGACAAGTATATATACAAACGCCAGCACTCGCAAATGCGCCAATTATTTGTTTCGGGAAGAAAACTACATTGTCAGGTAAGTATATACATACACTCGAACGTAACATCAGGTCACCTTAAAAATGAAACGTGAACGTAACTGAGAAAGAACAGATGCGCGATTGATTGTTGAAATGCATGCCCTTAAGAGAACTTTTCCCCACGGGCATCGGTGAGACATAAGTGAACACGACGTATTTATTGGGAATTAGGAATGTGGAAAGTTTCCGCAACACTACGCATCGCTCGAAAAAGAGCACCATCGTTTATGCAGACTAGAGTTGAGGATGTTTTTCGCTTATTAAATCATCGTAACGTGTGAAGCATTCTTTAAGTAGGTACCAGAAATGCACACTGAATGTATACCGGTTGTACATGCAAATACGTGTACATATAGCGTGCTCGTTGTGTGCACAAACAGACGTGGTTAATTACTTCATTGTACCGAATCATGTTTAACGATTGCTTGTTTGTTTAATCAGTAACGCTCAGTGAGCTCCAATTATTTTTTTTCAGCAACGTATGTGGGGATACTCTGGTAATGCGAGAAAAGTTGCAGCTGGATGTATTGAATTTGGTGGGCACTTTAGTAAAACGCCAGCGGGCACGCATGAGACCATGGGCTGAGTTGACCTACAAGCATAGGTCAGCAAAAATTGTGGAGTTCACTCGGACTCACCAAATTTTTCCTGAGCTGCACTCACTCGAACTTGCTTTCACGAAATTTTTCTTCATCCGGACTAACTCAGACTCACGGCTCGATCTGAGTGTGAGTGAGACGGAGTGAGTCGACACGTGAGTTCGTAAGTCTAGAATTAGTTTTTTTAGGTCATGGTGTCAATTACTGCTTTTAACACCAATACCTTACGTAATCGGGGCTCTGCTTCTTGACGCTTTTTGATTAGTACCTTCGAATACGATTTCTAAGTACGTAGTAAATCAACAAAGTCATTTTTTTTTCTTGAAAGAGATGACAACATAAGAAATATTTATCAAGAACTTATCCAGAAGAGTTGACGGTAGAGGTGAGTACAAGGCACCGTCTCACGTAATTCATGGCTCTAATCAATAAATATTGAAATGGTGTATGACCAATGCTGCTTTCGAATAGTTGTGAGTAGATGCGAGTATAAACGTGAAGCGAGCTAAGGTTCATGGCAATGCTGAATATGAGTAGATAGGACCATAAGCCGGCAAACATAAGAGGAACTCACTCAGACTCAATCAAGAAATATGTCTTGCGCTTCGGACTCACCAGAATTTTCCTGAGCCAGACTCAATAGAATTCACACATACTAAAATTTTCTTCAGCAGGACTCACTCGGACCCAAACTCACCAAAATATTACTCACCCGGACTAACTCAGACCCAGACTCACGTCTCGATCTGAGTCTGAGTAAGTCCGAGTGAGTCGACTCAGTGAGTGAGTTCGCCGACCTATGCCGACAGGTATAGCCGGCATTTGCGATTAGCGTAACTGCAATAGATGGCGGCTTCAGACATTGACGCCAGGAACTGCTTATGGATGGCTTTTTCAACGGCTTCAAGTGGCCTTATCAACAGTGCATTCTCCAAATCACAGGCACAAAGGAGCGTCGAACCGGAACCCACGAGAGCATCGCGGTAAATAAGCAGCTTGTGTGCGAAATGTTCGCGCAACACGCGCTGTTTAACTTCGGTGAGCACATCGATTAGGTTTTCCAATGACACTGCTATACAACCATCACGTACGCTGAAAACAGTCGTTAGAGATTACAAGACGGAAAAGGCCATTGAAGGCGAACGAAGATAGCCATGCACTGGCAACGTTCACACACTCGCCGACTCCATGAGTACTTTAGGCGTGCAAAATGGTGCAAACAAATATTTTAAATTTATCGTTATGGTTACTTTTCTTGCAACAAGGTCAAGACTATACTCATAAGCGCAAGAAGTGCATGTTCGCCGTGGTGGCGCAGCGGATACCATGCTCGGCTGCTGACCCGCGGAATAAGTGGCTCCAGTTCCGGCCACGGAGGTCGCATTTCGATGGTGGCGAAAGGCTATAGAGCTCCGTACGATGTCAGTGCAAATGATGCTGATGCTGATGCTGATGACCTCTGATGAATGACGCTTACCCACAAAGGGGGATGGGCCAAGAACCGGGCGGCAGGATACCTAAATGAAACTAAAATGAAAATGAAGCCAATCTGAAAAAGTAGCTTAAAGTAATACTACCAAAAAACAAAAATGTTTGCTGAGCAAGCGGTCAAACCATCTTTTGTTTTTGAAAGACATAACTACGAACTATAAACTAAAGATCTGAAAAGGTAGGGGATCACTAGCATGGTAATCTTTTAGTTGCGTTGATGTAATCAAACACAGCGGAGCATACATCCCTGCGGCAGTAACCAAATGAAGTTCCGCCAATCGATAAAATTACTGGTAGATTTACTTGTATTCATAGCTTTTGTAATGGGGCTACTAAAAATCTTTTTCTCTGATAAGAATAACGATGACAGAATAAAAACAAATGTTCAATTGTTTCAATTTCGTTGCACCAAATGCATAGCGGTGACGCCTTGAGCCGAGCTTTGTTAAGGTAATAATTTAGTTGTGGAACTGCATAGCGCAATCTGGTATAAGTGACCTCTAACTCGCGAGATACACACCACTGTTTATTCCAGCAATAGCTCAAATGCTCGAAATCTTTGAATTTACCCAAATTACCTTTTCCCCATTGCAGGCAAGCATTTCGGAACCTTAGCGCGGTTACGTAAGCCGTATCTGGCAAAACTGGGATGGTGGGCCCACCCAGGGATACTGCTGCTAAATAGTCCGCCATTTCGTTCAAATATAATCCGCGGTGGCCTGGTACCCATAGCAAATGCAGTTTTTTTTCAAATGCAGTGCAAATATCAAAGAACACCAGGTAGTTGAAATTATCTGAAGACCCACTACATATGGCGTACTTCGTAATATATCGCACCGTACATATCGTAACCTTTCCATCCATCCATCCATGGATCGTGATTGTGGCACACGTGCGCAGGGTTCCTCCATAAGGGAGCTAAGCTTCAGGAAAAAACGTCGGCAATGGCGGACACTTTCAGTGGCTCCGTGTCTATTGATTGATTTGGTTGATTTGTGGGGTTTAACGCCCGAGACGCCGTAGTGGAGGGCTCCGGGAATTTCGACCACCTGGGGTTCTTAACGTGCCCCCAAATCTGAGCACACGGGGCTACAGCATTTCCGCCTCCATCGGAAATGCAACCGCCGCAGCCGGGATTCGATCCCGCGACCTGCGCGTCAACAGCCGAGTACCTTAGCCACTAGACCACCGCGGCGGGGCGGCTCCGTGTCTGTATCTTCTTTTTAAGAAAAAAGCGAACGCGACCTTGATTCGAGAACAGTCATTGCACATGAATTTCCAAAGGCTGTTGCCAGTTTAAGCAGCGCTAGCGTGTGTTTAAGGGGGCAGACTGCTCTTAGACATTTTTTGCTTATTTCTTCAGTGATCTTGATCAAACTGCACAGAATTGTGAAGTTTTTTTCTGCTGATTTCAAATGTATAATTAGTTTTTCTGTAACTCATCTTATTCCTGAGATAACTTAAGTTCACCCCCTATTGTCTAAGGCCACCATAGAAAGAAGTGCTTAATTAAAAGTGATATTTAAAATATCCTAACATAGACTAAGAACTATAGATTGAAATAAAGCAAGAGTTT